TGGTTAGGGAAACACAAAACTTCTCCCAAGTTTTACTTTGTTACTGATGCTGCAGGGAGCAGATACTCTGCAATCCCCAAAGCCGTATCTTTCTTCTCCAAGAAGGAGTGTGGAGCTCAGGTTTGTTTTCCTGATGCTTAGAAATGCCCGAGGCAAAGCTGCAAGGCTCCCGCCAGCATTGGAGGAGCCAGCAGTCACCAGCCTGTGCCACCACCTCTAGTCCTGGCTACTGGGCTGCTTGTGTGAGCCCATGGGCATCTTAGGTGACTTCATGAATGAATTAAACCAGTGGTGGTGTCTGTGCACTGTCAGCAGGGGAAGGGACAGTTTGCATGCTAATTTTGATGGATGGTTTGAAAGCAGATGGTGCTGGCAGGGTTGCCTGTGATGCAGTACCACAGGTTTTGAAGAACTCCTCTGTCTCAGCAGATTTACAGATGCAGGCCCTGATCATCTGGAGGTTTATGCATATTCACAATTCACACATGTAATTAGCCAATTTACTTTGCTCAGGCTGTTCAGGTACTTAAAGTGCAACACTGGTGTGTGAGTCTGAAACACCACCGTGAGGGTTTTATTAGCTCTCGGTTGAAATTTATGTCCTAGCTGGTGGTTCAGTTTCTCCTGTAATTGTGCCGTATCACCTTCTTTATGAATGCCACCTTCCCCTTACACGCAGAAACATTTACAGAAGCTGCAGGACCGAGTGCTGGAGCAGCTCGATGGCAGCGTTATGTGCACCACTGCAGGACTGAGGCAGCGCTTGCTTGAGCCAAGGCGTGGGCCAGGTGCCCCCCACAGCACTTCCCCAGCACCCGTCAACAACCCTCTGAGCAGGAGGTGGCACTTCTGGCACTGCTTCAAGGTGACTCAGCACCAGTGAAGTTTCACAGGACAAAGACAAGACATTTCCTGCAATGTCAGAGCTTTCCAGGTCACACACCAGAGACTTTCTGCAAACAGTAGAGACATCAGTGTTTCTTCAAGAAGAATCCCCAGTATCAGCTAGGGGCAGAAGGGATTGAGAGCAGCCCTGCAGAGAACTTGGGGGTACTGGTGCATGAAGAGCTGGACATGAGCTGTCTCATGTGCATTTGCAACGTAGAAAGCCAGCCGCATCCTGGGCTGCATCAAAAGAAGTGTGGCCAGCAGATCAAGACCAGTGATTCTGCCCCTGTACTCTGCTTTAATGAGACCCCACCTGGAGTACTGCGTCCAGCTTTTGAGTCCCCAATATAAGAAGGACACCGAGCTGTTGGAGTGGGTCCAGAGGAGGACCACAAAGGTGATCAGAGGGCTGGAGCACCTCCCTTTTGGAGAAAGGCTGAGAGAGTTGGGGCTGTTCAGCCTGGAGAAGAGAAGGCTCTGGGGAAGACCTTGCAGCAGCCTTGCAGTACTTAAAGGGGGCATGTACGATGGGGACAGACTTTTTAGTAGAGCCTGTTGTAGCAAGACAAGGGGTAGTGGTTTTAAACTAAAAGAGGGTAGATTCAGACTAGATACAGGGAAGAAATATTTACAATGAGAATAGTGAAATGCTGAAACAGGTTGCCTAAGGAGGGGGTAGATCCCCCATCCCTGGAAACACTCAAGGTCAGGTTGGATGTGGCTCTGAGTAACCTGATGATGTCCCTGCTCACTGCAGGGGGGTTGGACTGGATGATCTTTAAGGGTCCCTTCCAACCCAAACCATTAAAAGAAGAAAAGAGTCCTGCAGCAGTCTGTGGAGAAGAGTGTTAGATGGCCTGTTTGTAGGGTCACTACCAGCTCTGTCAGAAAATCAACACATTGCATTTTGACTAAAAGTACCATCTTTGTGGGCAGTATCTGCCCTTTGGCAAGCGCAGAGCAGGTCTGTGTCATCAGGACTGTTGTCACCCTCCTCTTGCAGGAACAGCAGGTACTTCTGTGGCAGGACTAAAGCGGCAGGTGAGCCCCCTTATCACCTGGAGCATCCCATGAGAGATACTGCATCCCTAAAACTCCTCAGACTCTTTCTCCCTGCCCTCAACAGAGGTCCTACCATTCAGAGAAGTTACTGAGCCAGGCTCCATGCTCCATTGGCCTTCCAGGAACAGCAAAATCTTCTTACCAAAAAGCACATGAGTTCATTAAATGTCAGCGCTGCTCCCCACATTGGTTTCCTTTGATCAGAAGAGTAAATTTATACTTGTGAGAGAGATGAGACTCAGCAGGCTGCCTCTAGTCCACCTCTCTGCCTTTAAAATGCTGTTGAAAGTATTCTCATCTAAGACATTTTCCACTTATGGGGCATAGTTACGAGTTGAGTTCCTTTATGACCAAAATCTTTGATCATGACAGAATTCAGTCTTTAGTTTAACACAGGTTTATTTGTTTGGCTTGTTTTTATCTCTGCAGTCTTTTGCCTCCTGCCTCCACTGGAACACATGTGGAGGCAATGTGCTGACTGAGCACATTTAGTGTTGTCTTACAGATTTCGTTGCAGTTGAACTTGGGTCTCAGGTAAACTCTCTGTAAGGTGAGATTTAATGTGGCCACGGGGGTTGTCCGTGCATCAGGGACTTGGCAGTGCAGTGGAGATGCCCTGCCTGATGTGGTCTCCTATGGCAAAGCATGGTCGTTTATTGTGATGTGCCAGGGCATTGCCGGAGCTAATGGGCAAAAGTTGGGCCACAATTTACACAATTTTGGCTGTTACAAATGGGTTTTGCTGCTAATGTGTTATGTCCTGCAAGCCCCCATTACTTGCTTTGGTGGCTTTGTCTCATCTTAGGGGTTTTTTTAGTACCAAAAGAAGGTTCTGACAGCTGTATGGCTGAGAAGGGACAAGTTATCTTCTGTGTTTGTGCAACTTTTTGAGGGTGGTGGCCTTATAATTAGAAATCCTGGTATTGTACAGTGCTCCTGGGGCTGTGCAGGTTTCTCTTCTGCGCAGCACAAGCAACTTGGCAGAACAGCACAGGATGCTATGCCTAGGATCATCTTGTGAAGGAATGCATAAATCAGTTTACAGGTCCTCAAAGGAGTAGTATTGATTTGAAGTAAACGCTTGTAAATGGCAATAAATAGCCATCTATTGGTCACATAGACGGCTTTCAGTGTCATTTTTAAGTTAACATGAACACAGGTTTCATCTCAAAGAAATCTGGAGATAGCGGGAGGGTCACAAAGTAGGACTGGGCTGGGGTTGCTCAGAGGAAGTGCAGAGATCAAAGAGAGCAGGGTCTGGTACAGCGAGAAGAAGCCTGACTGTGTCTGGTTGCGATCTCTGCATGCCTGCAGAAACAGCTCCAGATTCCTGCCCAGGAACGGGTTAATGGATGTCTTTGTCCCATGGGGATGGGCTCTTGGAGCAGGGCAGTCCTTGGTGTCCAAAAAATTGGAATCTACCTGAACTCTGATGCTTTCTTTACACCATGCAGCCACTGACTTTTTCCGAAGAGCTCCAACTCTTAAACAATAAGAATGAATAAACATAATTCTGGCAAGTCCATCACCTATGGTAGAAAGCTGTACTGTGCTGTGGTGACTATAACCTGTGTGGTGCAGGCATCTCTTTTGTAGGGCAGCTTTATTTAACTTTTGAAAAAATAAGGTCACAAATTTAGGCCAATTAGCAGCCTCCAGCTCAGCAGGTTCACATCTCCCACGTGCAACCAGATCTCTAATGACTGTCTGCATATTTTAAACACTTTATACAGTCCTTTGAAATATTTTTTTTTCTCTAACCAAAATATTGTGTGCTATTTCTCAGATATTTTAGGATTTAAGCGCTGTCTGTGTTTTCTGTTTTAATCTGTAATTCTCTCCCCTCTTTGTCTTCAATAAATAGTTGAGTAAATTTTCCCATGTATTTACAACTGCAGTTGGAATTATGGGCTGTAAGTTCAATCAGTTGCCCATGTTAGGAAGCTGTAATGAGTTCTTTAATTATAGAGTCTAAGTGCCAAGCCTTACATATGTGTTTCATGGATATGCGATACATTTGTAGATCTGCTTGGTCTAAGGCATATGTTTTATTCTCTGACAGCCAAGGCATACAGTTGTTAAATTGAAGTAGGACTTGCTGTTTTGGAGATAATGCTGTTTCCAATGCCTTAATTTCTTTTGCTTGTTTCTAATGTGTCAATTTGTTTTGTTTGCACAGAGACTTTGCTTATGTGGCAAGAGACAAAGACACAAGAATCCTGAAATGTCATGTGTTTCGCTGTGACACACCCGCAAAAGCCATTGCCACAAGTTTACATGAAATCTGCTCAAAGGCAAGTAGACTTAAAGTCAGCTGCATTTGTCTGCTTAGAGGTCCCTTGGTCTAATACACACAATCAGTGATCATACACTGTGTTAGTTCAGTTTATGTCACTGGCAACGAGAAATGGCATAGAGAATTTGTAAAGGTCACAAATGGATGGGAATAATGGGAGGGTGAACACACAGTTTTGAGGATGATGATGATACATGCATTTGATGAGCGTGTATAGAGACTGAAGGTTTTCTTGAATAATAAAGAAGCTGCAGCTTGAAAATGGAAAAAGAACACAGTTTCAGTTAATGGTAAATGGTGATGTTTGACTTTGTAAATAAATCAGACCTTTTTGGAATGGTGCTCTTCAAGCAGGACAGTAAATGGTTGCTAACATTATGCTGCCCACTGAAAAACATCAGAGGGACGGGGGCAGTTGAGCTACCCCACTTACAAATAATAAAGGCTCTTCGTTCCTGCTTGTGGTCATATTGTCAGTGACACCGGAAGGAACTGTGCTTTTCAGCTGTTTTACCATATGCATTTGCCACCATTACATGGTTATTCATTTTGATTTTCTTGCATGATCAGTTCATCAGTGTTCTCTGTACGGTCATTTCACGCAGCAGTAGCAAGGCAGTACATCCTTTACAACAGGTGAATCTTATTGAGACTCTTTATACAGAGGCACTTAAACCAATCTACTTGAAACAGTTTTTAATTCTTTTATTGAGCTGTGGTGGATTTGAGGCTGCATCCCCACTTTTTAAAAATGTTATGCTTCTCATTTTGCTTTTCCTTAAAACACATCAGTTTGCACCACAAGGTGGACCATGGGGACAAATAACTTTACTGGTTATCCCTGTGTCACTTCTCCCTCTTCCCTCCTCATGAGCCACAGCTCTTCTAGAAAAGGACGTTAGGAGACCTTCACATTTTAAAAGCCTGGTGATTTACTGCATGCCTGTCATTTGCACTTTAGAGTTTGTCTTCACATTAGTGAATGGAAGTCAGTGATGTCAAAATTCCCTCTGTAGCCAGTTGTAGAGTCTAAAACATTTTCATTTTTGCGACACTGTGAATGTGGCTACTGAGGTTTCATGCAAACAACATGAGTTTTTACACAGTGTGCATTGCTTTGGGCACATTGGGCAGCAGAGCTTGGCCTGAGGCAGCAGCAGAAGGTAGTCTAGTGGCTGTGCAAAGCCTGGCAAATCTGTCCTGGCTTGGGTGTCTGAGGAGATGCAGGTGGTGGGGCTCAGGGAGTGCTCAGGTTGGGCAGGGCCCTGTGGGCTGCGCTTGATGAAGTTTGGAGAAGCTTACATCTGGTGTGTCCCTCCTCTTTCTCCTCCAACTCTCAATTCTCACAGATGTTTCTGGCAAGTCTAGCAGGGAAAAATATGGTACACAGCCCCTGCCACAGCTGCTTTTATCTAATAAGATTGACATCAAGTAACTGCCGTAGTAGCTATACACAGGGCTATCGGAAAGGCTGGAGAGCTGCCACATACGTAACTATGACACAAAACTCCTGGCATTAATTTCGGATAAGAGAACAACTAAACATTTAAAACCATAGCTCACAGTCACACAGAAGAAAACAGGTTGTTGTTAAACAGAGTGTTGTTAAGTAGAGCACGTTCCTTCGTAATTCAGCCCTAGATGTGACCCTGATTCAGGGAAGCACTTGGCCTGTGCTAATGTTCACCCAGGACCTCTTTGTGAGTCGGGCCTCCTTCCTAAGCTAGTGTCTATCACTTTTCATCTGCAGGGGGATGTTATCATGTGTCCATGTAACGGAAAATACTCTCAAAATATAAAACCTGAAAAAAAAAGGGGAGAAATTTGCTAGAAGCATCTTCAGACCAAGCATCATCTGCTGGAACAACAGTGATCTTTATAGCTTAACTACAATTAACAATCATAGCATAAAGGAGCAGAGAGCAATGTGTCATCTATGAGCTTTGGAAAACCTCTATTAACTTCCCTTAATGTCCCTTCCCAGTCATATATTTGTAGGGAATAATCATCCTAAGAGGTTATTTTGTAGTGGTTTGTGGGGTTTATTTTGTCTTTTGCCAGTATTATACTTTGTGGAAGAAGAACAGGTTGTATTTTGCATGGGGATTTTAATTCCAGAAGAAACATAAAAATGGAGGAAAAAATTATACACAGCACAAGACAGATCAGAGAGGAACATAAATAATAAACGTTCTTCTCTGTGTGTTAAATATTTATATTTCTTGCTATATTACTCGTCACTGCAATTCTGCTGTTGATAAAAATGACTGGAGTTTTTTTTCCTGTTCCATCTATATTTCATCTAGGTTTGGACACCACTTAAGTTCTTTATGTAGTTAAGGAATGGTGAATAAACTTGAGGAAAATAAAAGTTATTTAGAAGGAGTAAACTATTCAGTCATGTAGTTTCTGATTTATTTCAGAAACTAGGGTTTCAAGAGGAGTAAATTTGTACTTGCAATTGCTGCTGTACTATATTTAAAAAAAAAAAGCTGTATTATCACTATCTTCGTCAGATTATGGCCGAACGGAAGAATGCTAAAGCTGTGGCTTGCAGCTCGTTGCAGGACAGGACAAGTGTCACCCTTGATGTTCCTCTGCAAGGTACTGTATGTTATAGCCAGCATCCTCGGGGTGGTCCTGTTTTGGGTATGGTTCTCTTCTGATACTGCTTTTGACCAAAATGGAGAATGCTGGGTGGAGAGATCAGGAGTGTAATCCTGTCTTTTAGTTACTGTGTCTGACTGTAACTTGTTACTGGATTACATCAAACATTTTTATTTGTTGTGTTGACAGTTGCTCAGTTATGTCAACTTGTGCGTTGCCTCTCTTATTTTGAAACACACCTTTTGCACATGCAGTTTCACTTGTGGCTATACCGTCTTGTTCCCATCAAAGTACCTCAGGAGTTGAGGCTGCACAAATTGACCAAATTTTCTTTAAAAACAGAATGTACTCCAGTTAATCCCTTGGATTCAGGGGACCTGTAGGAGGACTCCTCCTGGGTTTCTGTATCAATTTCAGTGACGTCCAAGACAAGAGGTGCAAGTGGGTCATCATCCAGTTTAAGGGTCATTTGCACACTCTACTCCATGGAAAAACCAAGTTGTTTTTGCCTGACTTTATTATTCATAGCTTAATAGTTTCTATTTTGAGTGTGTTCCAGGAGAACAGACATACTCTGTTAGCTTTACAGGAGATTACATGATTGTAGATCCACCAGTTTATACCGAATATCTTACTCCTAATCCATACATCAACTTGTGTAATTGTCTGCTCAGACAGTACTATTGATTACTCAGACTGTGAGTCTAATAAAATAACATATTAACGAGGAAGGTATTAAAAACAGATTCCAGATTTTACATAGGTATGCAGTGAAAGTTAGGTCTGTATGCCTCGGGAGACACATCCATCTGTATTTTCTGTTTTTTAATATGACAGCAGTATAGCACGACCTTATTCTTAGTTTAGATCAAGAAGTAGGTGTTGCAAATTTATTCCTAATTCCTGTAGAAATGATTGAGCATTGCTCTTGTCAGAGGGAGTGAAAATTTGTTTTAATCAATAAAATACCTTCAGAGTACAAGTACTGGGTAAACTATTTGATGTTATTGATGAAATAAAAGTGGTTTTCCCTGCTGTGAATGCTGATAAAGAGAGGCTGATTTTTGTTCCCATGCAGTAGATTTCCCAACACCAAAGACAGAACTGGTACAGAAGTTCCACGTCCAGTACCTGGGCATGCTGCCTGTAGCTAAACCTGTGGGTATGTAACACTGATGTGACTTCCAGAGTGCTTTGTAGAGATTTTAAGGGCTGGACTCTCAAAGCCAAGTGTAAATGCATGATTTTTGCAGTGTTAAGACATGAAGACATCTGTTACTCAGGACCTCATTTGAATATGTGTTTTGCATCCACAGTATTTTGAGACCTGCCAAGAAGGCAGTTTCTTTCTACTGCTTTCTCTGAATATGAGCTCTACTACTAATGAGAAGGGCTCCAGAGAACTGAAACAGTGCAGCAGCTAAAAAAGATGTGATTCTGTTTTTTTTCTAAGCCAGAGACACTTGCTTTGTGTCTGCAGTTGAAGAAAACCAACTGCGTAACCCATCTTTCTATCATCAAATTCATTTTAAAAAGAAGTCCAAAGCAATGTTTTCTGTACTACTATGTGGAAAGAAACATTTTGTTATTGTTTACTTACATATTTCTTTTTGGTTATCGCATTTTCTGTTTTAGGAATGGATACTCTGAATAGTGCCATTGAAAGTCTAATGGCTTCCTCCATCAAGGAAGACTGGATGCCGGTTACCATGAATGTTGCTGATGCTACTGTCACAGTCATCAATGAAAGAGTAAGGCAGACTCTCTTATGTAGAACACATTGAACGTGAGTGTTGAAAACCAGGAACACATAGCACTAGTAGAAAGAGTTAATTTGTACTAGAACTAATTTGCTTACCTTGCATTTTATTTTGTTCCAGGACTGTGAACCTGCAGAGGCTCTTACTGCTTGTATCAGCTTCAGCTTTATTTACCATTCCAAGCATGTTCGGAAAAATATAAATTATTATACTTAAAACAAATTCAGTGTTACCCTTCCCAGGAATCTTGAGCCTAAAATGTTGTCGGTTAAGCCCTAAGTATCTGTCCTAAATTCTAAACTGCCTTTACTTTATTCTTGATGTGGAAGCCAAGAGTAGTATTTAGATCTGTGTTTCATATCACTGTCCTTTTGTAGAGCATAGAGATGAATGCACGAAACTTTCAAAGAATGTCCTTGGTGTTTGTCTGTTGATGAGGTCTTAAGCCAACATCTCTCACATATCAGCGATAGGGCAGCATCCTTTGGAGCTACAATAGCCATACGTTTTGTCAGAAAAGAAGCAGTACTTGGAGTGTACAATGCGCTCGGTGCTGATGCTCCAAGCCTTGGTCTTCTGGCAAGGGGAGATCCAGAGCTGAGCTCACTGTGTCTGTGCTGATAAAAGGGGATTCCACAGTAATACTGCAGCAGTCTCTCACCCTTTTAATCATCTTAAACCTGGAAGTCAGATTCCAGAGAGTATCCCATAGTAACAATCAGTCATTCGGTTCATAACCAGAATGAAGAGGAAATCATGGTGGAGTGTCGAGTGCGGTTCCTGTCCTTCATGGGAGTAGGCAAGGACGTGCACACGTTCGCCTTCATTATGGACACAGGAAACCAGCATTTTGAGTGCCATGTCTTCTGGTGTGAGCCAAATGCAGGCAACGTCTCAGAAGCTGTCCAGGCTGCTTGTATGGTAAGTGACCTTCTTCAAAGGCATCTGATCGCATTTAGAGTTTTCACTGCCTCTGTAAATAATTGTCTTTCCAGATTTGCAGTGATGTTGGTTTTGAGCCAGAAAAAGAAAGAGAAGATAAAAATAGTAATTGGGATTCTGATATATCTAATCAATTAAAATCCAAATGTTTTTAAGTGTGAAATGTCAATTTAGTCAACAGTGCACCTTTAGTCTCCGAATCTCTGCAACATTTGTGTAAGTCAGAAATCTTTTCTTTCGCTACACAACTTATCTAGTGCTGGAAAAAATCTTGCTCAGAGTTGTGTTAAACAACTCAGGGACAACATAGAGAAAATAATCCTTGTTCAAGAACAGCTGAACACAGAAAGCTTATTTTTCACTTTTCAAAGGGCTGTTCATATGATTTATTAACCATCATGTGCTAATGAACAGGCGGACCAATGTCCTATTACCTTCAGTTGGGCCGTCTGTCATGGCCAAACTGAAGGTTTGACTGTATTTCACAAGAAAGTATTAAAAGTGTGTTTGAAGTGCTCTGTGGAAGTGCTGGATGCAGTAAGGACTGCACGGTGCTTTTGCTCTGTTGCAGTTGCGGTATCAGAAGTGCTTAGTGGCCAGACCTCCTTCGCAGAAGGTTCGACCGCCCCCACCTCCCGCAGACTCAGTGACCAGAAGAGTGACAACCAACGTGAAGAGGGGAGTGTTGTCCCTCATTGACACTTTGAAACAGAAGCGCCCAGTCACCGAGATGCCATAGCTGTGCGAGAGCAAGGATCTCCTGACGTTTAACTCATTATAACAGTAGCTACACTAAGGAAAACGAACTGACAGTGTCTGGCCTTCCATTTCAAATTGCTGATGCTTTGTCTTCAGAGAATTTACCCCTACCGAAGCAATGTTAGACAAGCATGTTCTCGTTCTTGCCACCATCGTGTGATATGAAAAGAAGCATGAATAATTTTTTTGCTGTCAGTGAGTTACATCACGAGCAATGGAAGAAGGTCTGTTTGGTTGTAAATACATGAACATTACCAAAACTCACACAAAAACAAAAGAATATGGCCATGTCCCTCCCAGTGAACTCATGCTAAAGTCCTTGGAGTGAATGATGCCTGATAGTTTCACCTTCTTGAGCTGGATTTGTCACAAACCAATCCTAAGTCCTACAGCAGTTTGCTCTGTTTCTGGCACTGGAGTAGGTACCAAGTATTAGCTACCATTGAATTCCTGTAGATTAAATACCAAGGGTTTTTTTTACAGAACTACACCTGTTAGTTTTAAATTGTTTGCCAGCATTGGTCTGGCAACCACTTTAACATCTTCCTGACGTGCTTTTAATCATGGTGTCATTATTTCATCTCCTGATTACGCATTACGGTCTTAGAGAGGGATCGCGTTTAATACCAAACCAATGCTGAAAAATCCAGAAGTGTTTTCAGTAATTGAGTTGCAGAGTGATCCACTGAAGCTTTTCAGCTTTAAACATACAAATGCAACTGTTGGCTGTTAAATTTATTCTCCTAAATCTGTCATTAATTCATCAAAAATACCATTTGTTTCACACAGGGCTCAAACCAATCAGGAGTAAGAGAGTAGTCGTCAGTAATTTTATTGTACAACTCTTACAAAGACTAAAATATCCCATATCTTTTCCGTGTAAGTGTTTGAGGAAATGTTCAATTCAGCATCTGGTTGCACAATTCCCCCTTCCCCTCAGAGTTTGTTCCTGAATACTTAACATGCCACAAAAAGAACAATCATGTTTCTCATCATTGACAAAATTCCATGAATTTTCTGTAACTTTTAGTGCTCTTGTGACAAAATAAGAGAGTGGTTGTCTAACAGGATAGTGCTTCAGGTGGTACAGCTCCATGTCAGTGCTTTTGCTCCAAAGGCTTCATCCGGTTGCCTTGGTTTACTGCAGACCCTGGCAGCGTCAGCCTGGTATTGCCCCTTAAAATTGCATTTCCAGTCTCTCCCTTCGCCATCTTCTGTCTAGACCTGCAGATTGGTACAAATTTTGGAAATGGAACATGAAAGGTATTTTTAACTAGTGTTAAAAATGTTTTGCCTCCATTTATAGATACGTTCCAAACTGTAACTGCCTCTCAAATATGGTCGTACTGCAATTTTAAAAGAACATTGGCAAGGTTATTATTACAATAACTCTTTTTAAATTTTACTATGCAAGAGACTGTTATAAACAAACTTTCCATTTTATTTCCTTGCTCAAAGAAATTAATGGCAACACCTGGGCAAAGCAACTTAAAAACACAAGGGGAAGAGAATGATTATTCAATTTCTGCATTGAAAAATGCTGAAAAACCCTTAAACTCAGACTGATGGATGAGCAAGAGTCAGGTGTGAAGGCTACCTATGCAACTACTGTCATTAAATTTAGAACAGCCTCCCAGAGCTGATCCTCCATCCATCCCAGATCTCTTGATGACCACGATTCTGCACTGCAGCGATGGTTTCTCCTCCCAGGCCTCTCCTCCTCCTCACCTCCCTGCACCAGTGCTGCTGCTTGTACAGCTGGAGAAGGTGCCTGTGCCCAGCGGGCAGCGAGAGTGCGCAGCTGGAGGGGATGCAAACAACCCCTTTCAGTGGTTCCACTGGTTTAAACTGGCCACCAAGCCAGATTTCAAAGCATGGCGATGGCAGCTTGCATATGCAATTATTCATTTCCTAGTGCTGATCCCAGCGGCTACTGCTAGGAGCAGCATAAAAACTCACTTGCATGAGCACTAGCAAATACAGTGGCTAACAGTGTACCTTCAGGTAGAATTGTGAAGTTAAGAGAGAGACGTTTCCTTATTCATCATCATGCCAGTGATTCAATCTTTGAGTTAATTTTATTTTAAATCACAGAAAATACTTTGATAAGCATCTTTTTAAAGTTGCAGCTGGAAACACCAAGATTTAGGGTTTGCATCTCTTCTACAACAGTGAAATTGAAACCGTGTATTTAAATGTTGTAGTTACACCTGCACAGTGCTGATTCTCCCCCCGAGAGATCCGGACTCTCTTTAAACTAAACCAGCACTTAAACAGCCATGTGAAGGCTCTCCTTCATCGCAGCTCCCAAGGCTGTGAGCATCCAGGTGGCTTTCCCCAGCAAAGCAGGCAATTGCAGGAAGGGCCAAGGAGAAGAGCGGAGGGTATAGGAAAAGCTGTAGGTCCCTTGCCAATGTACATTTAAAGAGTTCTGTGTCTGTTAACAAAATGTTGTTGATTTTACAGATAATTTAGTGTGCTTAATGGTCTGACTAAAGGGGGCCTTTCTGCTTCAGTAGAGCTCCTTATTCTCCAAGAGATTAAATACACACCCAGGTGTTTGCAGAACCAGAGCCTGATATTGCAAAGCCAGTCATCTTTCGTTAAACAAGATACTAAGACTCTCTTTTTACCGTGGCCAAAAAAGTATGTACGGGGTATGCGTGTTTGAGCAGCTGCCACTATTTTAGTTGATGGTATAGCAACCCTTCAGTTATCTATGCATTTTTTTCATAAAACCTAGTGATTCTGTAGGCACGTAGCCAAGTTCACTATGCCCTGTATGTCTGATGCCATATTTTAAATTAACCTGTTAAATACAGCTTAAAATATTTTTATTTTATTTATTCTATTTTTACTGAAGTATCCTGCGTTATTATGTTGATGTATTGTCTTTACTGGGTGTGCTCTTGTAACATTCTCCACTCTGTATCCTATAGGTTGCCTAAAAAAAAAAAAAAAGGCAGGCTTTGTAATTACTTGTAGTCACATTTTTATTGAAGTCTGTAGAAAAATCATGTAAAGCAAAGCTCATTTCTTCATTTTTTTTCAATGCCAGTAGCAAGTTAGAGGTAAGTATTGCTGTCAGTCAGGTCAGCGCTGTGCTCCCTTGCAGAACCGGGGAGATTTATATTCAGAGTCAATGATAAAAGCCTTTCTTTTGCAATCTGCCGTGCTGGCTGTAGGTTTTCTTTAAGCCATTTATTGTGTCATGTGAAGGGGAGCAAGGGGGGTGGAAGATGTGAGGCTGCAGGGGCCACCTCCAGGGTGGTTAAACAGGAATAACAAAAACTGTATGGAAGGACATAGAATCCATTCACAGGGAAATGAGTTTTTAGTGCAGAGTCACCTGCACCTATAGAAATAATGCACACTGTTGTGACAGGGGAACAGAAACTCTGGAGTACCTCAGAGCTTACACCAGTTCTGTGTCACTGAGAGTTCTACATCCCTTTTCTTGTCATTTTATCAAGCATTTCATAGCTCATTGAACTAGAGATCTAAAATCCTTAGAACATCACCCATGGAAAAGAAAACTTTCTTATTTCAACAGCTAATACGGGCTCAGCCTTTCAGCGTTACCAGTAACCCCATTTCTCCTTTCTTAGGCAGGTTAATTTATACATTGCTAAAACTTGAGCTGTACAGTCAGCAAAAGCAGGTTTGATTTATTTTAACAGCTGAAAGAAAGAAGGAAACCCACTGTTTATTAACAGAGTTCAGTAAAGCACCAATTGACACCGAAAAGGAGAGTTTTCCCTGCTGACCACTTCTCCACATTTAAATGTAAACTGTTCTGAGAATAAATTTAGCTGCATAAAATGACTGTCTCAGCTGTTACTGGTCCATGAAAATGGGAAATGGATTCTTTGGTTCCAAAGTGTGGTTGAGGGGAGGGAAAAACATACTGCTGGTTTAGAGGCAACAGCTGTACAATTCTGTATCTGGAAAGCTGTATCAACAGTTTCTACTTGAAAATAACAAATACATAACTGGATTACAGAAAATCAGCTACATAAGGTACAGATTTACTGTAAAAAGGCATCAAGGGTTTAACTGAGCACAGAGGCTTCTACCTCCGAGCCCTCTCAAGTCAGCCCCAGATGTGGCCACCATGGGATGTTCAGTGCTTACACTGTAAACTGGTGACCTGCAGAGTCAGCATGTTCACTACCCACTCTTCCATCTTCTTGGTAAGACATCAAGACTTTGCCTGGTTCAAGCCTCTGTAACATTTCAAAGCCCAAACTCCTGAAAGATGAGGTAGATGGTGGGATATCATGGCACGTATTGTGTAAGTAGCCCTGAAATTCTGTCATCAGACACATGTATGTTCTTTTACAAGTAATTTCGATTATATTTCATGACAAATGATAAAAGATTTTCATTTTTAAAAACAGTTCATTCCTTAACCGCAGAATCTCGAGGTTTATTTTAAGCATTTAACAACCACATTGGAAAAAAAAGCCCCGAAATCTCCTTACTGTCCATTCCTTTTATCTGACACACAGAATCTCTCCTCCTCCAAGATGGTTCCAAAATAAAATAGCAGTTTCTTTTCTCACTTCTATACACTGCATGTTCACAGGTCTAGACCTATCCTAGCGGGTTTGTTCAGAGACAAGAGCAGAGTTCATCCTCTTACTGGCACAGGTAAGGAGCACATATGCAGCAAGGTGAGTGATGCCTTTGAATAGAACAGCTGGCTCAGATTAAAATGCTAGAAGAGATTTTCAGTGATTCAGTGAAGCAGGGATATTTATCTGATGACCAAGAGCCAGCTGTCTGCGCTGCTGGTGTAGTATAATTCACATCTTTTCTTCTAAAGGTAGTGCTGATCCAGCTGCGCTGACTGGTGTGGGTGAGAAACAAAACAGAGATGTTAAAAACATTTTCTCCAGATGGGTCTAAATTCAGACTCTTATCTCCAGGTTCAGATTCCATACCGTATTGTCGACACCACTGGCAATGCTCTTACCAAGTACCTTAAATGATTGCCTAGAGGAAAATTTCTCTTTGGGGCCACAGCTACTTTTGCCTTTCTATACTGCTGTGCTGTGTTTCATTTCTACACCACCTCTAATCTAAACACAATTCCTGAAGTTCCTCTTATTGTTGTGTCATTGTTTGCCAGTTTCCTTCTTTATACTGTCCATATTTAATGAAAATATTTTATCTAGTTGTCAACGTTAATATTTTGAAGCATGTGAGTAGAAACCAAAAGAGTAAGTACTAGAAAGCCTAGTGTCCTAGTGGGCTTTAGTGTCCTTGGCCAGCTGCCTGTACAAAAGTTCATGTCTAGTTTCAGAAATAAAGGTGAGCTTACTGTGCAAGGCGTAGTTTCATGTGTCAGTCTAAATGGTAACTCACAGAAATGGTATCTAGCGCTTGTAAAGAGAAACAGCCACTTATAAAATGCAGTCTCACTTTAAAATTGACTGTTCCTACAGATCTATGCAGGCGGGAAAGGTATACTTTAACTTGTCACTTTAAAGTGTATAGTGAGAAGCTCTAATTTTTTGACCTCACTCCTCACAACAGTCTACCAGTCTTATGCAGCTGAGCTCCAGTCACTTTAAAGTGTGATTACTGGTTTAAAAATTACTACCATGAATGTTTCTATGCAAATATCCCATAGTATATCTCTGTGCCACAGCAAGATTATCGTGCTTAAAGGTATACTGCAATCTTAGCATACTGATCAATACCTACAGGAGTCTTTACCTTCTGCAGAAAGGTAGGGCCGAATTTGAGGCTCCTTACAGCCCTGGTCACGGATGGCCAGGCACATTTGGCTCAGCCACTTCAGACACAGGTGGTAGAAGTGTCTTACCACTGCAATCCTTTGCTTCAGTCCAGCCATGAAAGTGATGATGAGTTTTTTCTTTGCAAAACTCCATATGGCCTTACCCCTGGAGGAAAAACAATTTCCATGGTCTTCAACGTCATCCTCTTGCGTTGTGTGCACGCCTTCCTAGCAGGCATCTGTCTTTGGTACACCTTGCCCGTAGGTGACAACTGAAGCGGGTGCTTCAGCACTTCAGGCCGAGCTGTGTCTGAAAGGGGGCTGATGGCTTTCTGCAGCTGAACGTAGCCATTGGTTCAGATCACAGCCTTTTGTTGTATGCTACTGACTGCTGTAGACATGGAAACTTCCTCCTTAGCACGATATACAGTTTGGTGATGAAGGAACGCTGCAGTCTTTGGCTTTATACCACTACGAGTAATATGATGTCTACGTTGTGTTGCTTTCTGCTTTTTCCCCTTTTTCTTTGATTTTTCTACAGTGCCGTCTAGTAGTCCCTTTGCTGCAGCACGATCCAAAATGTCTCTAACAGAGTTTCAGAAGACTCTTCCTGAAAATTTCAAAGGAAACAACAATGAATCTAAGCCACAACACAGAGCTGCAAACTAAGTACTTTAATCCCAGATTCCTCAGAATTTACTCCACAAGAAAACTACAGCAGAATCTAGCAGAAAAACTTAAGACACAAGTGATAAATGCTAACCAACCTATTTATTCAAGAAATTAAGAATGTGACTGTTGTGTAAAGAGGTGTCTGAGCATTTCCTCTTCAGAGACTCTGCCCTCTACAGGCCTAAATAGGGGGAACTGAGTTCTGGACTTTATTGACTTGCTCTGTAACATGTTTGTAACAACATGCATATATATGTAAGTGTGTGTGTTTATATCAGAAATGGTTACTGAAATACAGAAATTAGTAACATTAAACATGAGTAATTTTCATTATAATGAATAAGCAAGGAGCTCTCAACCTCCATTAACGAAGAACCAGGTCAACATCCAAGTATGTGTAAAGAGAAGCAATGGGGAAGAAACTCTTTACAGCTAGCCAAGAAGAGGGGTTTCTGTAAACCAGAAATTTCAGTTTAAATTTTAAGTACACTTTTTCTGCCTTGTGGAAAACGTTCATTTCCAGATTCACCTAAAAACTGGCCACAGGAGCAATTGCTTCCATGCATCAGAAAGTAGCTAAAAAACTGCAATCAGCTACCTGAAACAAAAGTGTTTCCTTCTCTGGAGGGAGACAGTGTGGTAGACAGATGTACACAGCACAATTAACTAAAACTTAGCACCTCAAGGAGCCAGGTTAAAAGTATTTTACATTGAAAGGAAAGAGGTCAGTAACAGACAACTTGAAAGGCTTTTCATGTGTGGTTCTCTTAATAAAATCTTCTAAATTCCCCCAAGACACAAGCTTCTTTCAAGCACTGTAGTTGCAGTATGACAGGCAGTGGTACAAATAACCAAATAAGATCTTATATCTTTAATTTTCACTGAATTTCTAATTAGCTCCCCCCATTCCTCTTTAGGTGAAAAAAGTCCTACTTTTCTCAGCCACAAGAAGAAAATGTTGATGCTCAGAGATGCCAACACACCCTTTGAGGCCTTTTCTTGGGAACTGTACCAAGGCTTTTCCATTTGCTCAGCAAAAGCCCCCTGCCTTTCAAACCAGATTTTCATATGCCTTTGTTTTGAAAGGAAACAGATTCCTACCTATTTTATTCAAATTATAATGAAGTCTCAATCCCTACAGGTGACACTGTCTGCCTGGACACCTGCAAATCTTGGTGAAATGTACAGATGTAACAAATAACTTTACTGGATGCCATTTATTCTGAGTCTCCTCAAGCTGAGTATTTCATCCCAGAGTGCGACAACAACTACATGTTTCCTGGAGATGCTCCTAGCACTGACTTGGATCGAGAGACTGCTCTGACCACAAACAGTTCGAGAAGAAATGGCACGTGTTGGAAAGCTGCGCTCAGCATAAAACTCTACAGTTGGCACATTTCAACTGCTCACCTATTCTTTGTTGTTAAAACAACTACAGAACAGCCAGGAGGTTTTTTTTAAATGTTCCATTTCATATATACTTTTGTGGGAAATGGCAGTATTCTTTTTCTGTGAAGTGCTTTTTAAATGATAACTTTTCTTAGCTTACCTCTCTTGCTAGAACAGCTAGAAAACAGCCACTGGAGACTTCTGATGGTTCCATTTTGAAAAAAGTTTCAGTGTAAGCATTTGAGTCAGAGCAAGCAGGCAAAAACAGGAGGAATAAGCCTGTAAAAAATAAACAAATGACAAAAAATAATATTTAAGGACATAAAAGGAAATAAACAAGGACAGATTAAATGTAATTTCCAAATATTATATTTCAATGACAGTCTTATAAAGTCTTAATTTAAAAAAACTGCAATTCAAGACAGACAGGAAAATAAATCTTCTTAGATTTACGTGGGGTTTTTTCCATTTTTTTCCAGTAATTCCCATTAATGTTTTCCAATAATTAAGTATATTAACCACCAGATAATAAATATTTATGAACATAATTAACAACTGTGTTCTTGCTCAGGTTTGCAATTACTGGATTATCAAGTTGCCCATGAAGTTGGGGAATGCTCTTGAGTTACTGAGTATATGCTCATAACAAATTATCTATCTTACACTAAAAAGGTTAGAAAAAGTTGCCTATTTGTAATAAAGTGCTGTTTTTCCAAATGCACAGCTTTGGAATGCATCAGTGAGGACGGCAGACCCAGCCTTTTCTCATGTCGTCCTGTATTCCGGTAATCCCTGGCTGTTACAAACAGGCTGAGGACTTGGCTCATGAGGCTGCTAAAGTTGGACTGAGCTGTGTCAGTGCAGAAAAACGCTACCAAAATGTCCTTGTGCAACTGCTATGCCCTCCTCCTGGCACTGCTGAGGACTGAGATGCAGCCCGTCCTCAGTGCTGCACTGAGCCTCTTGAGACACAGCTTGGTTCAAACACGGTTATGCGGAAATGCAGTCAGTCTTTGTCAGCAATATCCCAGTTTGGCTGGCCAGGCCATTTCTGATGGGAAGTTGCAAACTGTTTGTTCCCAAGTTTTCACTGTAATCTGGATTTTTTTTTAATTTTATATCCCTCGAAACTTGGTAAAACAGACTACAAGGCTCACATCCTCCTTGCCTTACTGAACAAAACTCAATGTCCTATGACACACAGGTGATTCTTGCTTTTTGATCTGGTCATTCAATGCAAAAATGTTATAATCTCTATTTTGATAGATATATACAGATTATTGTTGCCAGGAATCGCTTTGATGGATGGTCTGACCCTGAAAATTGATGCAGAAATCAACTGAAATTTGATAGACTGATGTATGAATGGGTTAGTATCCTTTCTATATACATCTGCTCACAATGTGTACCCTTATGTAAGGTAAAGCCTTTGCTGTAAACTCTCATATCCTTAAGGTAAGCTCAGCCTAGACAGTGGGTACGTGTTTGAAATCACCTTTACAGTTTCACAGCCCTGAGCCCAGCTGTATCTGACCAGGCTCCAGCACAGCCTTACTTTGGTTCAGCACCACTCCTGCACTGCAGAGTAATTCCAAAAGACAGAATACACATAAGAACGACTGGCCTAAAAGTTTCCTGAAAGCCCTCCATTTTCTTGCAAAAGAAATTAGTATCAAGTAGATCTGTGATGATCACACAGGTTGTTTTAATGGTCTAACCTGAACACAAGCTAGCAATTCTGCTGCAGAGTTTTTCACTGAATCCTGCATTCCTTTAGTCTAAGAAGTTACCCAATTAAGTCTACGGAAAGTGTACAAGGAACCATTGTAAGTACGTGCATCTTAAACAGCCTGCGCTTTCATTTTAAGTCAAGCATAATCCCCCTATATATTGTATTTATGGTGTGCTATTGCAGCTCTGTTTGTGCTGGTTACCAGAAGCTTTACTGTAGCAAGAACTAAGGGTGAAAACATCCAGGATCTGTGTGTGACAGTGAAGGAGGAACTGATTCTGGAATCATCATTTATGAAATTGAGTCTTCAGTCACAAATTTGATCACGTCTGCAAAAATGTTTATGTAGTTTATTCCCCCTTTTTTATCATCCGAGATTGCCTTGTATTTGAAAGTGAAACTCTGATTTGGCAGTATAACAAGCTACATGATGTTTCTGAAAAACACTGAATAGATTTTCCTTGGGTTTTGGGGAGGGGGTATGTTTTAGACATAGGGGATTTTTTTCTGGAAAAAAATAGAGCTATGGAAAAAACCTGAGGATTAATATATAAATTCTGATATACAGATATATATATATATAAATATAAAATGAATTTATGTATTATTTGTGTTAAAACAATTCAGAGACCATTATGTTCAAGGCCTCCCTAGTCTTTCCCATAGACTAATAGGTGCATAGAGGTCAAGACATGACAGACATGACAAAATTTCAAATTCCAAAGGAAAATACAGTTTACAGCAAAAGTCCATAAAGGTCTTTGGACTTGCACAGCATCAGTGGCAAGACATACCCTGATCTCATCCCATTTAGTGTAAAATTTCAAGCAGGCTGCTCTTTCCTAATGGTGATTTGCAAGAAAGATGCATTTTGTTGTACTGTGTCTTAACATTATGCATAACATACCTCTTTTTAAAATTCTTTGGACTGACCGCAGTCTTATCTTAAACTAGCCTCATTCTCTGGATATGATAGGATTAAAGCAATAGCTCTATCAGAAGCTCACCATAATGTTATTTCCAACCAGTGATGCCTTCCTCCCATCTTGATTTCAGATGGGAACAAAAATATTAGATTAAAAAGTCAAGAGGATGCTACTTAATACTCTTATAGCATCAAAAGGAGAGGAATGAGAGGCAGCAAAAAACTATTCTAAATGTTAATCTACTGCAAGACACAGATCAGTCTAGGATAAGAATTATGCTACAATTTAAAGTTATATGTAATTTTTCCATAGAACTACTCATTCCATACCTATATGGTTGTACTTTATTTCCTTCTACTCCAGATTCCAGTGCTTTTTTCACTACTACTTCATTTTCTTCTGGGTAAACTGAGCAAGTACAGTAAACAATAGCTGTATTTCAGTAACTAAAAAACAAACACAATTTTCTACTGTTCAAATTCTTCATGTACACACCGGCTTAGTAAGGACTGAAACCAGCATAAAAATTATGCTTGGATGTCATTTCTACCAGTGAAATATGTCTTCCTGTACACACTGGTATTCAATCTCTAGTGTTTATTAATAATTAAAATATTTTCAAATATTTGCAGATTTCAGCAGAAGCTAAGGGCTGCACACAGTCTTTTCACACAGCTACCAAAGGAGGGGGAAGAAAGTGGCAGCATGAAGCTGGAGCCAGACCACATTTACAAGTCTACCAAAGCAGAGCATGACTAAGCCAGAAAAGCAGTTCTCTGTACAAGGCAGAAGATTACTGTATTAATGGCTGGTGAATAGGAGACAGACAACTTTAAACTTGAGGGGATGGTTAATTTAGGGGGTTTGGTTACACACTTGCCCTTAACTAAAAGAGTAATTAGAGTATTTTTAACTTTATAAAAACTGGTGGCAGTGTAATGCAATTGATAGTATAAGGTGCTCCCAGGAATCCAAGAGCCAGCACACTTAAATTTCATTGCATGCATCAATTCCTTAAGCTGTTTCTCAGCAAGAATACTGAGTTTGTCCTTAGGTACAGATCCTTGGAAAAGATCTCTCAGCAATCCTGTATCTAAAGGCAAAGAGTTGTAAATTTGTTAATGCAACTTGCAGTAGTGTCTTAAAATTCCGTTGTTTGCAGAAAATGCTTTGGTAACAGACCTGGTTATTACTAGTGCACTGGGAACGTAGGTTTTATGAACTACACCACCAAGAAACGCTAAATGATTCTTCTGTTCCTCTTTACCTGTAATTACTACTGCCTCTTATTTGTTTCTGTTTAATGAAAGCTGTTCAGTGAATAAACTTATACAAACAATCAATAAAGGAATGTAATCAAGGTAAAATTATATACTCACTGATATCTTGAAAAAATTTTCTACCTATTTTTACTTTAAAAGGCTCTATACACTCTGCTCCCCAGAATAACCCTCCAACTTCTTATTATCGACTGGAAAATGCCTTTACAAAACCCTCTTAATCCTTCAGTGCCTCCTAGAAAGTTTCTTTTTTCTTGTTGAGAATCCTAAGCTAGGCCAAATTCTTGCTCACTTTATGCATAAAAATAATCTGTGAACTTTATTTGTTCTCTTTTGTATTTCCATAGTAGCTTGCAGGTACACACCTACAGAATTATGCAAGCTCTTTCATATATATGTTTTATACCAGTTAATCTAAAAGGAAGGCTATTTCATAAAATGATACAATTAACTGAAGCAGCTACGATGTCCAGACCAAAACACTTGCATGCTATTTCTACTAGAAAGCGAGCGAGCTGTTGTATCAAAAGTTACCTCTGTGTTCATTCACAATAAAGTCTACTGGATTGCCAACGCCCAGCCCAGAGCACTGCGGCAGCAGCAAAATAACTTTTGTCTTTTCAAGTCTTGGGTCTGTTGGTTCAATCTCAGTAAAGTCTTCAGCAAACAACTGAACATCTGAAAAAAATCAAACCAAAAAACTCAACAGTTCTACATGCAAGCAAGCCTGCCTAATTTTAATGTGATAAAGGTGAGGCAACTGTGGCGTTACACAAACTTCCATAGAGCTAGAGCCTGCTAGGCCCAAATCCAAAAAATACTCAAAATACTGTTTGAGGCTAAATCATTTATCACACTGAACAAGTTGCTCAGTTCAGCTGCTTTTGCTGAACATTTTACACCACAGACAAAAATTGTGGACACACTGTGAACCATCAGCGCTGACAAATGGGCAATGGTCAGATGGGAACCTACATGAGCCACTATAATGTCATCATCCATATTCAGCAGTGCCTGCGTAGAGTGTACAGCAAGGCTGCGAGACTTGTCCTATAAAATAATGACACAAGATTAAATATGGCCAACTAATTTGGTTTCTGTGAGTGCCAACCTTTCTTTCCAAATTAGAGAGGCATTTCATTGTTTTCATGACAAACTAGAAAGAGGGGAGGAGAAAAATTAATCATGGATAGCTACCAATACAAGATTAAATAAAGTACAAATCAAGCATCTTATTAACTCTAAACACTAAAAGTAAATAATTCTAACTAATTCATAAGAGAACGTACTATCTCTAGGTGAAAAGAAATTTTAAGTACATTTCATCCTCATAAGGAGAAACTCTTAGACTAAGACAGCCAGTTCCAGGAAAGACAAAACATAAGCCACGATATGCAAAATCCATCCTCAGAGGCAGCTTAACAGAACATAATAGCAAAACTATTCACACAGCTCTTGGAAGATAATTCTAGCAGAAATTAAACTTTTACAGGTCAAAAACTAAGATTTTGCTGAAAACTGAACACTGAGGCAGATCTGAATACAGAAAGCACATTTACAAGAGTAAAAGATCCCATACAATAAATACCAAAGAGAGAGTGATACTTATCAAACATTATCTCCATCAAATGACTAAAAAAGGCAGAGAGTGAAGATACGGACTGCGGGTACCAAGTTTTGCACTAAACCTGGCAAATACTGGTATTAAGGAAATGAACAAAAAAAGCTAAATCTTTAAGTTGACATTAATGTCTACATATCTGCTTACGCCATTCAAGTACCACCCTACCACACCACACAGAGATGGAGTCTTGGAGGGTTCTATTTCCTAATTTTGAATATTCTCAAATAGTAATACTTAGAATTGGTTCTGGTGACCTATGGGGCCATCATGTATAGTTCTTTTCCCTGAGTCTTCTATTCAAAATAAACACATTTAAATGAGATATTCAGACTTACATTGTAAGTTAGGTAATAAAATTTTCAGGCTAAAGTTTCCAGAAACTGCTAAGCATCAAATGAAAATGCCCTTTGAAAAGTATTTTAGTTTGCAGATCACATTATTCATGAGTGACATCAACTCACCTGCAGTAAGAGTTTGCAATCTGCAAAAAGGTCTAAATGAAGCAGTTCTTCTTTAAGAGAGGAAGAAAAAAACAATGCATCATGGCAATGTTGGTCCACACAGTATGTGTAACCGTCGAGGCCTGACACAGATTCAACTCTTGTGAATCCCTCCTTCAAATCTCTGAAAACATCTTCAAGGCTGTTAACATACAACTCAGACTAAATATACAGCAGTTACTTAAGCAATAGAGTTCACACTGATTATATGGATTCTGGCATTTATTCAGTGTGCATATACACATATCTGTAAGATGCAATACTGCCTAATGCAGGAGGAGAATTCACTCTGTTTTAGGCATCTAAGTTCAGGTTTGAAACAATTAAGTTAATAAGTCTGATAAAATAAATCAAGAGGTGTGTGTCTCCAGAGGATGATTCAAAGCATCAAAACATGAATGTCCATGTGCTCAGAGGACACTGCAGCAAATTTATTGCTGGAATAGTTTAATTCTTTCAATTGCTTCCAATTTAGCCCAGCTCGCCAATGAATTTAATGGCTGAAATAATCCTTGTATAAATGTAATAAAAGCATAAATGCTGAGGTTTGCAATTCAAATATCATAAAGATTTAAAGATATATACACCAAGACTTGTGTATTGAAATGCAGCTTCAGACAGTGCCATAAGTTTATATAGTACATTAAATGTAGGATCAACACAGCAGGTTTTAGTTCAGTCTTATTTAAGGGCTGTAAAATCACAACCAGAGTAAGACACCTTCTCTATCTTGAAGAGCCTATAACCTAAACACAGAACACTGGTCTAAGACAAGAGTATGAAAACAAAGATCTTGAAAACATAATAGAATGGATTATCTGTCTAACAAAACAGGTAACAGGATAACCTGGTATGGTCCATGTGTCAGCTAGTACGGACCTGGGAACACCAGTGTTACATATATAGTAGCCCACTGAATGTGCAGATTTTTAAAAGTGTATATTTATTTCAAGTTTACACTGTCCTTACAGAATAAACACCAATACTAAATATTGTATTTATTTTAACGCCCTTTGCCAATGTTATGGCTTACAGCAATTTTAAGTGGCTTACACCCACTTTTAAATAAGTTTTCTCTTTTTCCATCACAAGAGTTTATTCATTGATATAGTTTTTTCTAACCTTATTTCCTCATTTTTTTGGTGAAAGATCCACAGAAGCAACAAACAGTAAGAAAAACCATTTCACAACTTTGTTACAGATTATTAATACCATTACTGCGATATACAAAAATTACAAACAAACATAACGCAATGTCAATGGACTATTCATAATTTACTCCAAGAAACTTACATTATTGGTAATATAACCTGGAAATTCTAAAACAAGTGTGTAGTAAAGCCTATCACTTCATATGTAAAAATGTCAATATTAGATGATACTGTAAAGACCTTACCTGATTTTAAATGTGTTTACCCAAACACATAAAGGCAAAGCAGATGCCCTTTGTTCCTGCTTCCGTAAGGTTTCTGGTAGAATGTATTCAATAGAAATAGCGTCATGTTTGATGCGACATCTTGCTAATGCAGCTGCCAATTTGGTCCTAAAACTACAAAAGCATACTACTACAAGTTTAGTAAGCTTTATAAATGTTTATATCAGCTATTAACATGCAACATTTCCATCACAATATTATCTTGCTCCGAAACCAAAACCACATGTGAGGCCTCATTTTGCATGCTGTTACAGAAAATACAGCTATTGGACACTTTCTAACCCAAACAACGGTAGATGCAAGGTAGTAGTACATAGCTGAGACTATTTTACTTAAATGCACAAGGAACTGGAATTATGACAGACAACTCCCACACAGATCCATTTTCTCAGAAAGCTAAATAAAAAAAAAAAGAAAATGTTCTGGATCTGCAATCTGTGGAATACAATCATAAGATTTTTTGTGTTTGAAGATACAAATACATTGATAGGCAGAATAAGCATCTAATGAAAGCTGACCTCTCAACATGTGCAGAAACAACACAAGTATGATGGCAACCATGAGTCGGTTTTATTACGTGAAAATGTCAGAGGAAACATTCCCAGTCTTCTCTTCCTGCAAGCTTTATGTATAATCTTAATATGTGACACTTTGTAGAATCACGGAATGCTTCAGGTTGGAAGGGACTTTAAAGATCATCCAGTCCAATCCCTCTGCCATGGGCAGGGACACCTCCCACCAGACCAGGTTGCCCAAAGCCCTGTCCAACCTGGCCTTGAACACTTCCAGAGAGGGGGCATCCACAGCTTCCCTGGGCAACCTGTGCCAGTGTCTCATCACTCTCATACTGCAGAAGCAAATTAAAATTGCTGGTGAGCTATTTAAGGTGTCAAGGTATATCACTTATAGTGCTCTAGGAATACCTTGCACTTACAATATTCATGAACTATTTGGGCTATTCAAACTATTTGGGCTATTCTAAATCCAGTGCCAACACAATTTTGTCTAACAAATGTCTGTTGAGTTGATCAAGAAACTGATGAAAGAAACATTTGAACACTACCTGAAATGTTTATATTGCATATGCTCTCTAATTAAAATAAATATTTTTAAAAGTTCCATAATAGATTATTCCATCCCATGACCTCTTGACTCTATACCACTCCTATTTATGTTTAATGAGTATTTTTCTTTTCTAAAGTTGTATGAAAGTTTCAACAACTCCAAAATAACATATCTTTTTCGAGCAAAATAATCCACAACATAAAGATGGTTTCTTAGCTCTATTTTTCTTACCTATAGGAATATGAAAGTATCCCTTCAAACCAGGTTCTCATTAAAAATAAGAACAAAGCCCACAAAATTTGAAGCTGAGAGACATCTGTAATACTGACAATTATTTTAAAAAGGGCACAAATCAGTATTTCTGGTAATGATATCAACGCTTATCTACAAAGGGCCAGAAGGAGGCTCCAGGGAGTTACAGGCCTGTCAGACTGACCTCAGTGTCCAGGTCAGTGTGCCCAGGTGGCCAAAGCCAACAGCATCCTGGCTGGTATCAGAAACAGCATGGCCAGCAGGACCAGGGAAGTGATTATCCTCCTGTACTTGGCACTGGTGAGGCTGCACCTTGAATACTGCGTTCAGTATTGGGCCCCTCACTACAAGAAGGGCACAGAGATGCTGGAACATGTCCAGAGAAGGGCAACAAAGCTGGTGAAGGGTTTAGAGCACAAGTCTTATGATGAGCAGCTGAGGGAGCTGGGGTTGCTTAGTCTGGAGAAAAGGAGACTTTACCGGTCTCTTCAACTAGGGGACTAGTTGCACGGGAGGTGGGGAGGCGACAGTGAGCAGTGTGTCAGTCTCTTCTCTCACATAACAAGTGATAGGATGAGAGGATATGGCCTCAGGTTGCTCCAGGAGAGGCTTACATTGGATATCTGGAAATTTTTTTTCACTGAAAGGGTTGTCAAGCATTGAAACTGCCCAGGCAAGTGGTGGAGTCACCATCTCTCAAAGTATTTAAAAGACATGTAGATGTGGCACTCAGGGACATGGTTTCGTGGTGGACTTGGCAGTGTTAGGTTAATGGTTGGACTCAATGATCTTAAAGGTCTTTTCCAACCTAAGGGATGCTATGATTATAAAAAAAAAAGTTCTTAGCATTTATACCTGTATAGGTAACGCTCTACTTTCTGAACCTCTGCTACAGGTTCTTCTTCATCAAGTATCTGTCGTGCTTGAAACTTTCAGTCTTGTAGGTCATAAAGCATCACAACAAGCAAGCTGGTTAATTCATCTGGCTGTAACAGAAAAGGAACTGGATAGACAAAGTGACACAAAGCATGCCTTACTTCTGCAGAAAGAGCCATATTAAAGACTCCAATGAAATGCTTATTTTTAAGAATATGAAAGTAATTCCTCATGGAGAGTTAGTAAAACACTGAATAATTTTTTAAAAACTCAAATAGACAACTTAAAAAGTTACTTAGCTTATCAAAATTAAAAAACATTCTCCATATGCACAGATAATATACTATATCTTAACTTTTAATGCTATCAGAATTTAAACTTTTAAAGTCTTTTCTCCTCATAAAGTAGTTCTTTGAATAGCTAAGCTAACAAAAACTTCTTGTCTATCAACTGTCTCTTGTGAGATTCTTCGGTATATAAAAACCGATAATCTCAGTGTATAATAACCATTCTGCAGTTGAGACACTTGTAAAATCTCCTTCCCATGTCTAAATGTTTAAACCAGGGAGCATCTCCTTAGGGACAGTAATTAGCAGCACTTCAGTTACTCTTGTCTACCTCTTTTCATTAAATTCCTACAGTCCTACTGCCTTCAAAAATTCTCACCTTCTCATAAATACGACTAAATTAGCTAGAAAACTCAAGTTATTAGGGAAATACCACTAAACACAAAATGTTACCATATAAGTCTTACTTGGTTACAAAAACAAGCCAAAAATAAAATGTTTTAGATCATTTGCCTGCTCACATCAATCTCCACAAATAACATCAGTTCAAATTCATCTTGTACTTTTCAAAGTGAAAGACTAAACTGGAAGGAGCAGCAGATTACTCTGCAGCTCTAGAATTTCTTCTCATGTCAAAGCAGGAAAGCACGTTGAGAGAGTAAACTGGACCAATTTTTGCCAGTACAAGTACAATATTTGTATACAACACACTTTTTATTTTGGAAACAAAACACAGGTTCAATGCATTCTTTTGTCTGATAGGGTTCACTCCACACTTCACAACACCCAGAGACAGGAAGGGAACATGACTTTTTTTTTCGCCCATTCACAAGGGGACACAGCTGGGAAGGAAAGCATATGGATACAGACAACATCAATAAGCAAGTATTACATGACAGGAAGCATTACAGTTTACTCTCCTAGCTTCTTTCTTTGAAGGTTTTGATTCCCAGCAGCAAGGTGCAACAAGAATCTCACAAACAACGTATCTAGTAACTTGGAGATTGATGCTTTAGACAATTAACTAAAAAGGACAGCAATATTTCAGTTTCAGGCTACCATATAGTTGAAAACAACAAATGTTTTTAAAAGTGCTGCAGAATCCTCAGAAGAGATTCTTGTTCCATCAACTCAGAAAATACAAAATTATTTCCTCACAAAAACATTCACTTACTATTGACTGGCATGGGTAAACAGAAGCATCTAACAATAATTCTTCAAGAAAATCTTGATCTAAAAAAAAGGAAAATCTTGACAAGTTACACTATGAAACCTACAAGCTTCTACGGAAGAAAAAGAAAAACTTATAAATCACTAAAGAAAAAGCTGTAAGGTTAAACATCATGAAAATTAAGAGCAAATTCAATCACAAACAGAAACAACTCCAAATAAGTATAATTCCTTTACATTAAAAAGCTCTAGAGTTTAGATGTTTGATTTCACAAAATCATCACTTAGATATATTTAAATATATGAGGGATACGCATAGTCTAGTAGTAACCTGCAGTTAGAAAAAACAAATCCCCAGATCTCTGCTGTCAGGCAGAAACAAAACACTTTGGTTTTCCATATTCTCTCTGCTGCATCGTTTCTGTTGGGAACTCTTGGAAAAGTTCTGTACTTACATTTGAGAGCATTGAAAGCCAGTTCGTAAGATACACACTGAGAATACTCATCTTTAAAAGTCAGCACGGGAGATACTGCATGATCACTATACCGCACCAATATTCGATCCTTACTCTTCTCAGTATGAATGCCTTGAAAAATCTTGGCTGCGTTTACATACACGGAGTCGTGATAGCCGTTCTTCTCCATCAGAGTCATTGTTCTTTTTACAACAGATCTTTCTTCATCTGAAACTTCCATTTCACTCAAGTATCACTTACACCATCCTCACATAAAGACATCGAGCTACTTCTGGAACCTAGCATTTTTCCAGTCGGTGATTTTAAATGCAAGTCACAATCCTGCTGCCTCTGCAAAAAAACAAAGTTTGTATTGAATCATGGCATTTTCTTTCATTAGAATACATGTCTCCTTTCATTTTCAGGTTTTCAATAGAATTTATTTCCTTTTTTTAGGCTCTAATCGTGCAAATGTGTACATGCATATATCATCTATACATTTATCATCTTACATCTTATAGTAGATAAGTATTTATAATAGTTTTCTTACCGTATTTATTTTCACTAATGCAGATACAAAGACTGGTTACTTGTTTCAAAGGGGCCAGTGCTTTACAACAAGTGATCCTAACAGAGGTTTGAGTCTGTGTCTAATAAGAAGCATTATTATTGCAGACCAAATAGTATCTCTTACTAGTTCTCCTTTAATAAAAAGACACTACAGAAATTTCAAAGCAGATATCTTCCAAAGAGGAACCATCTCGAAAAGAGTTGCCGTGAATTCCACATGCTTGTCCACTAAACTGCATGTTTTCCTAAACATGGATAATAGAGATCACCTAAGTGTTAATGTATTTAATGTAGTACCTAAACAACACAATTCTAAATGCAGGAAATCCCCTCTGACAGTCTCTGAAGATACTATTCAACTCTCCATAAGCCCATGTGTGTTTCTTAAATTTTCTACACATCATACATAAACAATAAAAACTACCTTCCCCTGGAGGTGGAACAGGGCTTCAGGAAAAAAAAGAAAAATAACTCCAGTGTTAGCTCAATCCAAAAATATGCTTAAGTTCCACATAAAACCTACTTAAAGTATATGCTTGGACTTACTCTACTTGCTCTGGTTGCTATAATGTGCATTCATGACAGTGCTTGGAGGCTTAGAAGTTAGGTTAAATGTTCAGACAAAGGATAAGCCAAGACAAATTTAGTCATAGAGAAAAGATTTTAAAAAACAACAAACAAAAAAAACCACAACAAAACAAAACAAAAAACCCAAAACCAAACAAAACACCAAACTAGTCTTCCTGTCTGTGGAAGAATAATACAAGAGAACTTGGCAGCTATATGATCTAGTTTTAATATTACTAATTCTGTGGGTATATATGAACGTATCTGCTTTCTAACACCAACAGTGACTGTCTGATACAGAGCTTCAATTGATCGCAAAGCTTCTGGTGTCCCCAGCTTCAGGTAACTAAGCTGGAGGGAAGGGAAGCTCAGTGAAAGTCAGGAAGTCACCCACGAGACCATTCCCCAACTCCGCTTTACTTATGAGAAACGGTCCACACCAACTCACAGTACAGTCACTCTGGGAAAAAAGACACTTGTTTGTATAAACATACAAAGGGTTTCTTGAAACACTGGCTTGCAAGGCCTTAAAAAAATAAAAACCAAAAAACAACCCTGCCAACATCACACAAGCGCGGGCGGGGCAACTCCACCCCTTCCCCTCGGCAGTAATTGCCGCGCCGCGTTTCGCAGTCTGGGTTTCTCCCGCTCACTTCTACCTCCGGGGCTGGCGGCGCCGGACTCTGCGGGAGCGGCGGCCTGCCCTGCGTTACCCACACCCCACCACGCCACCGCCGAGCAGGGCCGACCTACCACCCACCGCTCGACCACCCTGCCGGCGGACCCGCACGCCCCCGTTAATCTTTACCCGCCAGCAAGCGCCTCTCCCCTGCTCGGCTGACCCGAGCCGCGTCCCTAGAGGGCACGGGCTGCGTGTGCCCCCGCCCACAGGCCGCTCCTACTGGGCTGGGGACCGTTGGGTTCGGGAAGGTGCGGCGCCACTTTCAGTCCTCCGACGGGGGAGGACAGTCTCCCCCTGCTCAGTTCTCCCGCCTGCCCGCGCTTCCCGCCACCAGTCGGCCCCCCGGACCGGGGGCACTGGTTCGGGCTGCGGCGGGCACCGGGGGGAGAGGGGGGGGTAG